AATACATAAACTCCTCTGCCTGTCAGTCCATAGGGCCGCCTCCCGACAGATGGCTGGGGAGAGGGAACGTTCCTCTTCGCCAATTTGCAATAGTGTCCCACCTCGCTGCCACCAATTAGGGGAGAGGGAGGTGGGTTTTTACTGTTTTTGCTGTTTTACTGGTGTTTGCTGATCTTTGGCAACACTGGCCAATCTGCAGAGGTATCCCACCTGCTACTGGTTTAAATCTCCAAAGGTTTCATAATTTATAAAAGGTGTGTGTGGCTGAGATTGGCAACGGCAGTACGTTTTAAATTCTGCCACTAACTTATACAGGTGTGGATAATCACAAAGGGTAGTAAACTCAGGCCTCACTTGTTGGAAAGAATATATTGTAGGGGAGGCCAATTATTGCTAAACTATGGTAGCTGCCACCAACGGGAGGTATTGCCGATGAGAACTGGCTCCCCAGACGCAGACAAATGGAGATGACACGGTCTTCAAACAAAAGTTAATAAGTTTATTTTGAACCAAGCGTATGGTTGCAGGCTGTTAATAAACTTGGAATTTCTTAGAGAACTTTGAATGTAACTTGGTTTGCAATACAGTTCACTCTTCTGTATGACACAACTTGTAATTGACTTTTACTGTGGTGGAGCACTTTCTTAAACAATGTTTCCTGAGGTGAATAGCCTTCCTGTTTGATCCTTTCTTGATCTCTAGTTCTTTCTTAACTAGTGATCTAAACAAGCTTCCCTTAGTCCTCTCTGACTAATGAAACTAATTAGGTTTCCCCCTTCAGCCTTCCTAGACTGAAGAAACCTCTGGCTATTCACACACACTGCTTCACCTCTCTCAACTGCTCACTCCGAACTCCAAACCCTAACTGACTGCTTCTTTTCAAAACGCAGATAGATTTCTCTTGCTAGGCTCCGCCCACTTTTCACTCTCTCCTGCCTGGTCTCCTTGGCAACGCCACAGTGGATATAACCAGTTAGCTCTAGCTTTCAGCTACTGTTACCAAATAAATAAACAGTTCAAATACATACAAAATATCTTTGACTTCTGTACATGGCCATATGGACAGATAGGCAGATCATCATGCCTATGAAGCTGGGTGGCCATCTGCCAGGAAGGCTTGGATGGTGCTTTTCCTGCGATGGCAGAAAGGGGGTTGGTGTCAGGAGCCAAAGATAGCGTCAAGAAAAGTGCCACGTTCCTCTGTCTCTCGATCATGGATCTTATAGTCTCACTTTGATGCCGAGATGTACACGCATACACATGATGTCGAAACCTTCCTTCCCGTTTTTCTCCTCAGAGCTTGTCACCTCTGCTCCAATGCCTCTCTCTTTCTGCTCACAAACACCCTCTTGTTTTCCCTTTTGTTCTATCAACAATCTCTTGTGTTCTCTTTGTTCCAAAGCAAAGCATAACTATTCTTTCTGCGCAATTCTGAAAGCCATTTCTTCCCGTTCTGCTCACGTCTTCTTCCCACTCCCATCTTTTCAGGTCAGCTTGATCTCTTTCTACCTCTCACCCAGATGTCTTTTCCCGGCACTCCGCAACCACTGTCTGTCTACGTTCCTTCACTCCTTTCTGCCCCTCTTTTCTCTTTTCTCTTTACATTCCTCAGTAACCCATTCTAATTTGTGAAATTCACTTTACACATTTTTGGCCCCAACACTTGACCTTTTACTTCTTTCTTGACCAGGGAAATGAGGATTCGATGGAGCCACCACTTGGGTTGAGGAAGGAAACCAGGAATGTATGAAGAAATCATCTCAAGGTGAAGATGTTGCTGAATTTGTGACCTGTCTTACAGACACAAAAAGAAAACAGGAAGTGTCAAGTGTCTGTGTTGCAATTAAACACCCATGTCAGTGTTAATATGAAGGAGAAAGCATATCAATGCCTGGAGTGTGGAAAGAGTTTCAGTCGGAGGGAATATCTTCAGCAACATGAAAGGACTCACACGGGAGAGAAACCCTATAAATGCGTGGAGTGTGGAAAGAGTTTCACTCGTAGTACACATCTACGATCACATCAAAGGACTCACACTGGGGAGAATCCCTATACATGCCTGGAGTGTGGAAAGAATTTCAGTCACAGGGATTCTCTTCAGCGACATGAAAAGACTCACATGGGAGAGAAACCCTATAAATGCCTCGAGTGTGGGAAGAGCTTCATTCGGAGTGAAAGTCTATGTACACATCACAGGATTCACACTGGGGAGAAGCCCTTTAAATGTCTGGAGTGTGGACAGAACTTCACTCACAACACACAGCTACATAGACATCAGAGGACTCACACTGGGGAGGAACCCTTTAAATGCCTGGAGTGTGGAAAGAATTTAAGTACCAGGGATTCTCTTCAGCAACATGAAAGGACTCACGTGGGAGAGAAACCCTATATATGCCTTGAGTGTGGGAAGAGCTTCACTCTGAGTGAAAGTCTACGTACACATCAAAGGATTCACACTGGGGAGAAACCCTATACATGCCTGGAGTGTGGAAAGAGCTTCACTCGCAATGCATATCTACATAGACATCAGAGGACTCACACTGGGGTTAAACCCTATAAATGCCTCGAGTGTGGACAGAGCTTCACTCACAATGCACATGTACATAGACATCAGAGGACTCACACTGGGGAGAAACCCTTTAAATGCCTGGAGTGTGGACAGAGTTTTAGTCAGAGGGATTCTCTTCAGCGACATGAAAGGACTCACATGGGAGAGAAACCCTATAAATGCCTCAAGTGTGGGAAGAGCTTCACTCTGAGTGAAAGTCTACGTACACATCAAAGGACTCACACGGGAGAGAAACCCTATACATGCCTGGAGTGTGGAAAGAGCTTCTCTCATAGTTCAACTCTACGTTCACATCAAAGGACACACAGTGGGGAGAAACCTTATAAATGCTTGGAGTGTGGACAGAGCTTCTCTCGGAGGGGACATCTCCATAGACATCAGAGGACTCACACTGGGGAGAAACTCTTTAAATGCCTGGAGTGTAGGAAGAGCTTTGCTCGCAGTGACAACCTGCGTTCACATCAGCGGATTCACTGGGGAGAAACCCCATGAAAGTGTGGAGTGTTGAAAGAGCTTCTATGAGAGTTCAGAGCTCCATATACATAGATTTTCACTGGAGACAACAGTGGCATTCGACCTAAATACCACTTTCCAAGCTTTTCATGTTGGTCACACACTCTTTAGACATGCATCCTCTCGTGACATGGTAGTTCAGTTTAAGAAACCACAGGTTAAACAAATCCCATATAAGATTTTCAATATATATAATATAATAATATATAGAGATAGGTTTCATGTATTCTTTATTGTATATACATTTCTTTTGTAGTTTCCTCTATAGCTGCTCCATGTGGTTTTCTCATCACAAACGGGTTTTAGTTTCTTAATTAGAAACATCAATTTTAGTGGTAATTAATGTAACTCAAGCCACAAATTATGCAGAAAGATTACAGCTGAACCTACACTTGAACTTGCCAGCACTTCACCTCTGTAGCGATTTAGCCTTTGTGGATATCTTTAAAGAGAGGCCGGGTGGCTCTCCGGGTTGGCAGAAGGGGGCTGCACTCAATGCCCTTTGGGGGTCTCTTCCAACCCCAGTGAAGTATAGACTGCCTTGGAGTGTGGAGTCTCCTCTGGAGGTTTTTGAGCTGAGGTTGTATGGCTGTCTGTTGGGAGGGCTTTGACTGTGCCTTCCTGCCTGGCTAAAGGGAGTTGGAGTGGATGCCCTTTGAGGGTCTCGTCCATTGGGGGGAACCCTTTTTTATGCAACGCACCTGTGGACTACATACAGCGGACACGCATGTGTCATGGCACACAGTTTGGAAGGCTCTGATCGAAAACAAGACAATGGCAGTGCTCATGAATGCTGACAAACGGGAGCACACTCTTGGGGTCCTCTTATCATATTGGGGTGCCTTTGCAGAAAGGCCCGGAAATGTTGGACTCAAAAGCATACGATGCTGGACACAAATGGTTAAGGTTTCGTTTTCAGTGAGACCAGAGTTTTGTTTCGTAGCAATGCCGGAGAGTCACCTAGAAACAGAATTGAGAAGATTCCTCAAAGAGAGGATCACTGCAGCAAGCGCTGTTTTGCCTCAGAGATGGAAATGATCGCACTGGAAGGAAGGTCGGGGCCGCCTTACCACTATTCCTCAACAACAACAACAACAACAACAACAGGGGCAAATGTCAGTTGTGGGGTGTATGAATTAGAAGCCTCGCCAAAGCAGAAGTGTGGTTGCGTAGGGTTATCTGAGGGGAACAGAGCCATTAGGGACACAACTCAGGGCCAGGTTCTTAGAATTAGACCCAGGTCTGTTTGCTCGTTCTTTGTTGGACTTTGTATATCTATATAGCAGTGTTTCGGTGGCATGTGTTTTCTGATTTATTTTTTAGTTGTGGCAGCCACTCTGTGATCTGCCCAGTTTTAGGGTGTACATATGCATACACATAGAGACATGACTATCTTCCAGTTTTTAATAAAAGGCGTCTTTGCTGAAAGGGGGTTCAGAAGGGTCAAAGTATCCGAGACCGGGAAGACAGGCAGAGCGAGGGTGTCATAGGAAACCTCTGGTCCTTTTGGATATGATTTTCCCCTTCTAGGTTGGTCACATGGCTCTGGGTTGGATTTTCATGCTCAGTTATTAAATGTATACCAAGTTTTGATCATCATCATCATCTGTTGCTATTTTGGGTACGACTTTCATGACCGCACGTCTGAACCCAGCATTTCAGGACAGCTGTCCTTCCTATATTACATTAACTGATCCTGTTAATTGGCTGTGTTTCCATTATTTTTCCTATGCTGTTACACACTCTCATCTACCTTACTAAACCAATTTATCCTTTAACTAGTTCACGTAGTGGTTTCCCCTCCCCCCCCTTTCAAAATTAGTCTGCTGTTATTGTTGTTGCTAGCTATTTTTGTTCTGTTGTTTTACGCTATTTTATGCTGTTTTAATTGTTATTGCTTTATTTTAATTGTATTCTGCCTGGGCTTGGGCCCCATGTAAGCCGCCCCGAGTCCCTTCCGGGAGATGGAGGTGGGGTAGAAAAATAAAGGTCGTCTTCTTCTTCTCCTCCTCCTCCTTCTCTCCTCCTCCTCCTCCTCTCTCCTCCTTCTTCTCCCTCCTGCTCCTCCTTCCTTCTTCTCCTCCTTCTTCCTCCTCCTTCCTCCCCCTCCTCCTCCTTCCTCCTCCTCCTCCTCCTCCTCCTCCTCCTCCTCCTCCTTCTTCTTATTCCATATCTGCTGCAGATGTCGTTTGCATGAATGTTAAGGAAGATTGTAATATTAATAGCAACAGTTTTCTTTCCCTGCCTCTCGTGGCTCAAGGCAGGTTACAACACAGCTAAAAACACATGAACAGCCAAAACATTCTTTAAAATATAGGTATTAAAGCATATTTCTATAAAATGCATATTCTAATATATAGAGCAAAGATTAAAACACAAGACGTGATTTGAAAATGCAGAATCCAGGCTGGCTGGGTAAGACTAAATTCACTGAAAAAAATCTATCCCCAGCCCACCATCTGATTATTATTATTTTGAACCCTGTCAGTACTTCTGTGGAGGGAGAGAGAAGTGTTTCATGTATAACTAAGTCTGAACTGTTTAGAGTAACCACACGCTTTTAACTCAGTATTTTGAAACAGCCAAGCTTGATACCTGAATTGTTCCAGTTCTCTTAAATAAACACCATTGTTTTGTTGTTCACAACAACTGCCTCACGTGTGCCTCTGTGGGTGAAGTTTTAAAAGCCGTTTCCTGCAAGAATCAAGAGTCTATGGTGGCAGTGTATAATTTGAAAGAATAATCTTTACCTCAGAACACAAGGCTGAGGGCTAATCCAGCACACTCTTGCCTGAGATACCTCAAGTAAGCCAAGGGCTGAACAGTGCTTTTAATTTTGGTGGTGGCCAGAGGGTTTTCAAAAGGTCTTTTGGCCAGTAGAAAGTTTCAGCTTGCCTTCCAGTTTTTGTTTTGGGGGTTTTAATCACACAAGCCTCATTCCAATCTATGTGGTGTTCAGCTTTTGGGATTTTTATTTTCCAAATAAAGCCTCGACTCCTTTATAAGGAACATCCAAGGGATTCCTGACTTTGACACGAAGGAAGGAAGGAAGGAAGGAAGGAAGGAAGGAAGGAAGGAAGGAAGGAGGAAACGCTGGATGTGGTTGAGGTTGGAGAGTTATTCTAATCTATAACAAATATAACAATTCACCAAAGCTGTTATGGTATTATAATAATACTAATAATATTATAATTAGTATTCAGTGCGATCTTCTGGGGAGGCCCCACTCTCGGTCCCGGCCCCATCACAGCCCCGGTTGGTGGGGATGGGAGACGGGTCCTTCCTTCTCGGAGGTGCCCCTCCCGGGCTGTGGAACTCCCTCCCCCGTGGCATCAGAACCGCTGCCTCGCTCTTAAGCTCCAGGAAGAGTCTTGAGATGACTGGCTACCGAAGCAAGCCTTTGGGGGTCAAGGTGGCCCATAAGGAAGACGGAAGAATGGCGATGCACTTGGTTCAATGCTCACAGAGCTCAGTCGGTGTGAGACTTTTGGTATGCTTGACATGCTTTAATCGTTTGAAAGACTATTTTAATTGTTGTCTGTATGCTTTTAAACAGGAACTGGGGCGGGCACCACGTGTGGGACCCAGGGCTTGGCGCAAGGACAGGTCTATGATGGGAAACACCATTTGGATAAGAGGGAGCGGAGAGGGGAGTGGGGTGTGTAGTGGGGAAGGTGAGTGGGGTCGCCTCAGACCCACTCGGCAGGAAGGGAACAGCCCACGAAAACGGAGACAAGGGCAGTTTTTGGTATCCGTTAGAGTGGCAAGCCGGGGAAGTAGGTCACTAGGTCAGTTCATCTCAGGCAGGTGGGGGCCAACTCCGCCCCTCCCTCTCTTATTATTATTATTATTATTTTATTTCAAATATTTGCACCTTGCCCTTCTCAACCGCCCCCCCCCTCCCGGGGCGAGGGGGGGAAGACTCAGGGTGGCATACAGCTGGTAACGATGTGTGTGTAGGATGTCCCTATACACACATAATCAAATACAGTAATTACAATGGATAAAACATTAAATCAACTCAATTTAAAACCTTTTTGGGCTCCCAACTCCCACCATTCCTCACAGCTTCAGGCCCCTCCCTTCCCCCCCCTCAGCCGCTTAAGAGGAAAGGAAAAGGCTCAGCGCGTGAGGAATGGTGGGAGTTGGAGTCCAAAACACCCAGAGGGAGGGAGGGAGGGGGGAGGGAGGGCCCAAGTTGGCCCAGGCTAGGTCTAAGGACAGCCTCAAAGTTAGCCGGGAAAGCCGGGAGGCCATCAGGTCACGGTCGTAGCCCTGGCTGTGAGTCTTCTGGGCTGCCTGGCCCTGTTCCAGCAGCATTCTCTCCTGACGTTTCACCTGCATCTGTGGCTAAAGGCATCCTCAGAGGTTGTGGGGACCGTCAGTTTTGGTATTTCGGGTTGTGTCGTAGATTTCCAAAATGTGTTTTAATGCTGTCAGCATGTGTATGTAATAATGTTCAGCAGGGAAAGAGTTAAGGAACCACTGAGTTATGTATGAATTCTACATAGGTACATGTGTGTGTTAGTTCCTGCTTCCTGAATGTGACGTGTAATGCCTTGTATGGAATGTGAAGTAGGCGTGTTCTGCTGAGTGTGAAGAAGAAGCCGAGAAGCCATGACTGAGTTGTCTTCTGCCGCGGGCAGACGCTCCCATGCAACTCTGCTATGTATATCGTCTGTAAATAAAGCAAATTGGTTTATGGTTTCATGGCTGCGTGTCGGAGCAGCTTTATCGCCTCGTTAACCAACCATCATCAGGGTCTCCTGGAAACGAGACGAGTGGAGGTGTTCTGTCTCCCAGGAGACTGGTTTGCATTGCCTTTGTAGTTGCTCAGAGTGTCTGCCCCTTGCATTTCTCTCAGGAGGTGCTGCAGCCTTGCAAAGCTGAAAGGCTAGCAGTTCGGAGGCAGAAGAGCCTGCAGCCTTGCAATGATTGGCCTAGAGAGCAACTCTTTGAGCCCGCCCCTGCTCCCGGGGAAAGTCCTCCATTTTGGAGTCCTCCCTGCCTTTTCAGTCAGAAAGAAGAATTCAGATGTGCCAGAGGCCAGCAAGAAAGCCTAGAGAAAATCATTGCAAGTACTACATAAATATATATATATATATACATTGAGAGAGAGAGAGAGAGAGAGAGAGAGAGAGAGATAGATAGATAGATAGATAGATAGATAGATAGATAGATAGGCTATTGAGCTATTTATATTGAGCTACATATAGATAAAAAGATAAATAATTTGGAATAGAAACATCGATTAGGCCATAGGTAGAAAGATATATAAATAAATTAGGCTATAGATAGAAATACAAATATATTGAGTCATAGATAGATTAAAAGAGAACAATTGAGTTATAGATAGAGAAGCTTATTGAGTTTATAGAGAAATTATAGATAGATAGTAATGAGCATTTGCCTTCAAAGCTAATTTTGGGCTATAGATAGGAGAAAAACCTGCTTTTTCTCACCATAGGGGCTCAAGATTAGGGTAGAAGAATTGCAGAATTCACTATACCTTTTGGAGGAAAGCCAACTCAATATCTGTATACAAGTGAAGTCGCGAATTTTGGGGGTCTTTGCCAGCAGGCAGAGACCAATTAGACTCATCA